CCATGGGCATTGGAGCGTGTGTGTAATTTTAAGTACGATGGATGCATACTACCACAATCCAGGATTCAGGTAGTGCTAAGTAAGTGTCCCAGGGCCATACTGAGAATTCCAAGTATGTACAGTTTGTGAAAATAAGTGTTGAGGATCATGCATACTACCACAATCCAGGATTCAGGAAGTGCTAAGTAAGTGTTCCCAGGGCCGTACTGAGAATTCCAAGTATGTGCACTGGGCAGACAGTATGTGAAAATAAGTGCTGAGGACCAATTTCTGTTATCTGAGCACCCCAGGAAAGCATACCCACAGGTTTGGAAGGTTTACGTATGCATGTATGTAGGTGCTATCAGGTCACAACTGACATCTGGCGACCATAGCAAGGGGTTTTCAAGGCAAATGAGGAGCAGAGGTGGTCTGCCATGGCCTTCCTCTGCAGAGTCTTCCATCGCATCCCAGTCCCCCCCCCCCCTTTGATTTGTGAAAGGCTTTCCTCTGCTTAGCGGTAGAACAATACCTCTTAACATGGCCTCACTTCCCACAGAGGTGATAAATAATGCTACCTTTGTTATTTACATTCATCATCATCACATCACATTAGCCTTTACTGGCATAAAACAATACATTAAAAGAGGATTACAATATATATATAAAACAAACCATTTTACAGACTACATAATATTGCATAATATTGCATCATCCAATTTGTTATAGAGTGTTACTCATTTTGGTAATTTTTCCTGATGTAACTTTATAGCTGATTGTAAGAACATGGCTACCGTCACTGATATTTCAGGAGTAGAATCATTCAGAAGCGGATGCACTTTTGAAACATCAGGAAGGTCTGTCACGTTGACTAATATAGAATTTAAATATCTGTAACGAATATCTACATAAAATTGACAACGCAGGCAAGTACGTGAAACTGTCTCAACACATCCAAAGTTACACTATATATACAGTCCAGCCGTGTATACTCTGTTACTATATCTCCCATGTAGGATCGCTGATGGTATTGCATTGAATTGTAAGTACTTGTGGTCCTTGTAAATCAGAAAAATATGAAGCCATTCGGCCTGCCTTAAGGGAAATCTCAAAGTGCAGAGGGGAGAGCAAGATTTGTTGGCTAAGCTGCACAGCCATTGTTTTTCAATATCAAGGATTCTGCGTTTTCTCATCTGAAAAGTGCCCATGAAAGGAAGCATGAAGAGTGAGTCCAGTGGGATACCCATCCATGGCAGTTATTTTGTTCTCAATGTGTAGTGGCCAGTTAGACACATTTGACTCTGTGAGCATTTGTCGTATAAAGCTCCCTGGGTCTACATTGTATACAGCCAATATCTTACTGTCATAAGCCACGCACCAGCCTCCACAGAATTCCACCCAGTTTCTAGACATAAGGCTGCATAAGGTACACAGCGCGGCATTCCCATGATTTTTCAGGGAAATTTAGATTGAACGTGTTCAATGGTGCCATTAAGTGCACTTATCCATATTGGAATATCATACAAGAGTTGGGGAATTACTTTGGCCTTGAAGACTTTTAATGCTGCTGGTAGGAATTGACTACCTCTGGTGTAAAAGAATCGGGAGATGACCAAAGCATTGATGTCGGGCTGATGTCAACAGGATTCTGGATGCTGTTAAACCCCACACTTGTCTCTTAGACTCGTTTCCATCATGGCTGGTAAAAACCAGTGTGTCAGCTTGCTGTCATAAGTTAAGGAGACTGGTGGAGGGAGACGGGAATGTACTCCTTGGAATGTACTTTCGCTTTCCCTCTGTCTGAGTGCTGTGCTGTTATCTGTATTGTTTATGAGCCTGACCTTGGTAACATCATCTCTGGGAACACGGGTCCATTACTTTTCTGGATTGAATTATAGAATTACTAACCACATTGTCAGACTATGGCCAAGTGGCCGGACTGAAGGTTAACTTGACTAAGACGAATATGTTAAAAAATATGACCAATGACCAAGTGAAACAACTGCAAGAAAAATCAGGATTTGAATAACAAAAAAGTGACATATTTAGGAGTAAAAATAACTAATAGATGTAGCTATCTGATGAAAGATAACTATACAGAGCTTTTGACAGAAATAAAAAAAGATCTTGATAAATGGAAGACTCTACAAATACCCTTGATAGGAGTAAAAATAACTAATATATGTAGCTCTCTGATGAAAGATAACTATACAGAGCTTTTGACAGAAATCAAAAAAGATCTTGATAAATGGAAGACTCTACAAATATCCTTGACGGGTAGAGTAGCTACAATAAAAATTAATATCCTGCCAAGATGGATCTTTTAATTCCAAACAATACCAGTACTTCATAATCAACAATATTTCAAAGAACTGGAGGAAGTGATGTCACAATATATATTGCAAAACAAAAAACCAAGGATAAAGATGGAAAATTTACAAGATGCTAAAGAAAAAAATGGATTAGGATTATCAGACTGGCTTTTGTACTATAGAGCAGCAGCATTGGTGTGGGTAAAAGACTGGATTATGTTAGAAAATACCAGATTGTTAACCCTAGAGGGACATGATCTTTTATTGGGTTGGCATGCATATATGTGGTATGGAAAATGAGATACACACAAGTATTTTAAACAACCTATGATTTTTACTGATGCTATGGGAAAATATTAAAAGATTATTTTATACCAAGATACCTAAATGGGTTTCACCACTTGAAGTATTTACAGATCCTAATTTGATACAAAAAATATGTTGTTGAGATATGAAGAATTGATAGATAATAAAAAATGATCTAAAATCAACAGAAAAACTAAAAAAATGAGAGATAAATTTAGGCTGGTGGGAAAGGTTACAAATAGAGTCTAGATTTGTAAAAGATAAACCATCAGGGTTCTACTCAAACATAACGGAAATGGATAAAATATTGTTATATGCTGATGATAAATTGATTAAAAAATTGTACATATCAATGTTAGAAGAGAAAACCCAGGATGAAATAGTTAACAAGTGTATGGTTAAATGGGCGCAAAACTAGGGACATAACATTAATTTAGACCAGTGGCTACGGGTATGGAAAACCAATGTAAAGATTACTAAAGCTATTCCATATAAAGAAAAGATATATAAAATGTTTTATAGATGGCATATGACAGCAGATAGACTAGCTAAGATCTACCCTGAACTGTCAAATATGTAACAGCCCATCCTCTGCATTGGTGAGATCCTTCTAGGGCCACAAACATTTCTTTAGCCATTTGCAAGTGTTTAGTTTGAGAAAGATGATTGCTTACCAAAACATGATGAGTGCTTTAGCCTTGAGATCTTTCTCTTCCCATGCCTCCTTTGTCGCAACATCGGCTCCCATTGAAGTCCGGCTTCTGGACTCGCAGAACCATTTTTAGCCTCGTCGTCTACCATGAAGAGAAATTGTTGGGCATTAGGACTTCAAGTCACAATTTTTCATCCACATAAATCTACTGCAGTTGTGCCATCGTTCCCTGTCTTCGTAGTTTGCTCTGGTTACTCAAGCACACAAACACATTTGTCTGGCTTTCTTCTCAGTTGGACTGCAGTGGCAGGCTTTTCCTAGTTAGCCATTGAAAGCAGATTTAGCTCAACTGCTGGTCCGCATAGCCTCACAGGCGGAACTCTCATAACTTCTTGGGAATTCAGTGGGTAGCACAGTGCTCAAAGGCTTGTAATGCAGCAGAGCTGTCTGGTCACTGTGTGTGTCACCACTCGGAGCCTCTTTATCTTTTCAATAAACCAATAAAAGTTCTTTATTATAGGAAATCCATTTTTAGATAGGAAAGGACAGGGTTAGGTCCCCAATGTAGACCAACTAGGACGGATGGAGACGCAGGAGATCATGTCCTGCTCTCATGCTGCCAAGGTGAAGAAGAGCAGAGGAGAGAAGGTGTCAGGCCGGAAGGAAGGGAGCTTTCCCTAGGAGTCGCAATCTACACATCAGAGAGACAGCATCAAAGAGGAAGGAAAGGACGGTCCGTGTCCTGAGCCCATCTGTCTCTCTGACTCTGTTGTGGCCCCACCTGGAGACTGAGGCTGAGAGACAGCCTACAGTCGTTCACTTCCAGCGAAAGAGGACCACCACCCAGGATCGGCTGTAGATCACTGACAGTGTAGTTGTAGCTTGAAGTTGAGTGTAACCGCAAGTGGCATGTTTTAATTTTCTCTTTGGGTGACTTCCCGTAGTAGCTTATCCTTGATACCCTTCTGGTCATATCAAAATGTTCCTTTACTTCATCGGGTAGGTTAAGGATTTCTAAGAATGCTTGAGATGAAACTCTTTACGTATGAGTCCCTGTGTAGGAAACTGGAAGTGGTGTGATGATATCATAGGACTTCGCACTAGGCAACGATTTGAGGCTGTGCTCTGAATTACCAGTAAGGAGCCTGAAGCATGAAGTGGTGGTCACAAGATGTCTGTTGTGAGATGGTGCTTTTCTGAACATCATGCAATGGCATGTTGGTGTCCAGAAACTGAACCTGCTATGTAAACTGTTTCAGGCTTAGGAACCTGCTATGTGAATTGTTTCAGGCTTAGGATGCTGGTGGAGTGAACGTTATTTCAGTCCCAACGAAATCTCCCATGGGCTTCCTTTCTGTGAGTCTAGATGACGACGATAATGATGGCACCAGTGTATCTCAACCCGCGGAGGAGAATTTGGGGATGGGAGCAGAGGAGGCACTGCTCTAAGTGACATACGAACATATGGGTGTCCTGCAGACCAGTGCAGGTTCCCACAGCAGGACCCCGAAGAGGCCAGCTCTTTCCAAGCTCACCCCTTACTGCACCACCACTGTGGTGAACAGGGCCTCTCCATCCGCCGGAGGCTAGCTTTTAACTCCCTGTAGAGTATTAACCCCTGGAAAATGCATGGGCGGTGCATGGACTTGGACAGTGGAAAGTGGTCGGTGACCTTATACCATCTTCGTCGTCTCTGACCTTTCCATGTCCTGTTTTTCTTCACCATTTAGATTGTAAATGGCCGTTGTAAGTGGTTCAACTAGAGAGTGAGGCAGAGAGTGCAGTTGCATCTGAGGAGAACAGTGAATCAACTGAAGTCATGTTCTCATGTGATGAAAACTCTTTTGAATGTGCGTCCAAGACTGAAAGACCTAAAAAGGATGAAGTCATTGAGGTATTTCCATGTTGCAATTGGGCTGCAAACTGACAGACTGGATTTCCCGACCTGCTGGCTTTCCTTTTTCAGTGAAAGGCTCCACTCAGCAGATCTGTGGCTGGGTCTGGGCCAGCAACAGGACAACCCCCCAGAAACACGGGATAGAACACTCTGCTTGAAACAGGGAGAAGAAGATCCTTCTGCTTAAATAATTTTTAAAATACGTTTTTCATTGGTAGTGGGTAGCGCCCCCCCCCCCACCTTTTAACTGCTGCACTTTTTGTAAGTTATTTTGAGGGATTGCCTTTTTAAAAAATCTTGAATGAAAAGTAAGACTTAACTTCCCAGCAGTACTATGTATTCCTGTTTTTATTTTTGACAGGCACCACCCAGAAGCCTTAGGCCTCGCTTCCGGAAGAAAAGTACCTCACCACGTACCGCTGAAGCCATGTGATGAGCAAGTAGCATCAACAGAATATCCCTCTTCTGCCTTAAAGATCTATTTAATTAATAATGTCGAGAGAGCAGTGGTGGGGTGGGCGGGTGTTTGATGATACAGCACTGTAGACTTGGCTTTTATCGCTTCCTGTTTTCTGTTGTGTGCGCCATCTGCAAATGCTGCACGACACGGTCAGAACAACCGAGAAGGCAGCGGCCATCCTGGAGCATCCCCACTTCCTGCTGTTCCCCGCATTTTTTAATTTTTAATGTAAAAAAATCCTGAATTCATTTGAGTACACAGACAACGAAAACCTGAATGTCCATTTCTGTTACCTTGTTTGTTGTTGTGCGTACTGCCAATTAATCATTTTGCTGGAAAAGTGGGGTGAGAACAAAGCCGAAGAGACATAGCAACAAAAAAATAAATGAACTATTGCAACATATTTATTTATTTATTTATTTATTTATTGTCAGATTTCTACCCCGCCCTCCCCGCAAAGCAGGCTCAGGGCGGCTTCCAGTGACATAAATACATGATATATATCGCCTTTGTTTTGATGAGACTGAATTCCCTTATTTCTGTAAGCTCTGTAAGTTTTGATGAGGCTGAATTTCCATACAGATGTTTTTGGTCTGCGTTGGTGCTCTCTTCCGGGACATCCACATGATACTGCCCTCTATTTGTCCAGTTTTCATGTTTTCTCCCACTTTGCTGTAATCTTTCCAAAACTTAGTTTGGTACAAACTTTTTCGGAAGATTTGCAGTCACAGCATCTTTGGACACTATGTAGATAGGAGTGTACATTTAGTTAATTAAAAAAAAAAAGATTAGGAATTGCCAAATCATTTAGTGTTACATTGTTATAGCAATCTAAAGTCTAAAGTAATAATAATCTATTGCAACTATATAGTAGTTCCCAACTTTCAGGTTTTTTTTAAAAAAAGGATGTATTTAGCTTTTTTGTCACAGTTATAAATGGAAATATGCAGCACATACTTTCCCCCTTACAACTCTGCAACAAAAAGGGCTAGAGGCTTTTTTTAAATGAATGCTAGTACATTGTTGCAGTAGATCATTATAATGTTTTAGCATTATAGTGATGTGGCAGTTCCTGATTTTTTAAAAGCCCCCTGGTGGGGGAAAGGAATTGGTTGCTATGGGGGAAAGTATAAGGAATGCTGCTGTACAAAGCATATTGAGGTGATTTACACATGCAGGAGAGTAAGATGAGAATAAGGTGGTAGATCCTGAGATAATAGAATGGACTGTTCCACTTTAGACTACAGCTGGAGGATCACAGTGTCAGGTCTTGAAGAAACTCACTCCCAAAAACACTATCTTGGCAGTGATTTGTTTATTGAGAGGTAAAGAGGTTTCAAGCATAAACGAGTCTGTGTCAGAACTGACTCCTTTGGCACCAGTTCTCCAATTATACATAACTCAAACAATCCCCCCCCCCCGTGACCAGAGCAATCACACCCACAAATCCAGCCCACCAAAATATACGGTACACCATCAGCCCTCCTACAACACCTGCAAATCTATGGTTACATTATCTAGCAGTGTCTGGTACTCAAGGTCAAGCATGCATACTTCCCACCAAGGGGAGGCCCCGCATGGATGCAGTTACAAGCCAGCGGGACTCTCAGCAAAGCAGTTCCACACACGCACTCACACACTCCCCCCCCCCCAATTCTCTGCCAGAGTGAAACAAGGCAGTGAGCTTATAGATACCATAGACAGGCAGTTAAGAAACATATGGCAAACGAGGCCCAAGTTTGACACACAGATGGGCACATTTTGGAATGTTCCCCTATAAAGAGATGTAAAATTTCTGGAAGTTTTGAAGCGGGGGGGGGGGGGGGGGGGAGAGGCTGAATTTT